AGAGAGGACGGAGGGAAATATGGAGAGGAGGAGAAGGAGGAGGGGAGGAGGGGCAACAGGAAGAGGGGAGGAGGGGAAGAGGAGAAATAATTCCTCCAACTCGAGAGGCTGCTCGAACATTCAGCTCATCCCCGGAGGTCAAACAGCGATGGTCAGAGAGAAGGGGAGCGAAGGGGGTAGCGCCCCCCCCTCTCTCTCTCTTTCCTATCTCCTCTTTCTTTCTTTCTTCTTTCTCTCTCCCCCTTTCCTTTCCCTTTCCCTTTCTCTCGCTTTTCCTTTCTCTCTCTCTCTATCTACTATCTCCCTCTTTCTTTCTTTCTCTTTCTCTCTCCCCCTTTCCTTTCCCCTTTTCCCTTTCTCTGGCTTTTCCTCCTCTCTCTCCTCTCTCTCCTCTCTCTCTCTCTCTCTCTCTCTCTCTCTCTCTCTTCTCTCTCTCTCTCTCTCTCTTCTCTCTCTCATCTCTCTCATCGATGAAGAAAAATACAAAGAGAAAACGGTAAAGACGAAAGCGGGGAACCACTGAAGAAGAAAAAAAGTTAAAGAAAAAAAACGAAAAATAAACAAAAGAAGAAAAGGAGGATCGAAAAAGTCTTCCCATAACCCCCAGTACACGAAGGGAAGAGGAAAGAGGGAGGAGCTCACTGGAGGAGAGGAAGGGAAGCAGGAGTTTCGGCTATTAGACGAGAGAAGCGACTGGTAAAACGAGATAATAAGAAAGAGAGAGAGAGAGAGAATTATATATATATATATAATATATATATAATGTGTATATATATATATTATAATAATACACAACACACACAACCCACCACACACACACACAACACACACACACACACAAACCCTTAATATTATCTTATTAGTATAATTTTATTATATATATAATATATATAAGAGAGAGACGAGAGAGAGAGACGAGAGAGAGAGACGAGAGAGAGAGAGAGAGAGACGAGAGAGAGAAGAGATGAGAGTGAGACAGAAAAAAAACGAGAGAGAAAAATGCGAGAGAGAGAAAAAAAATAGAGAGAGAAAAATTGAGAGAGAGAAAGAGTGAAGGAGAGAAAGAAAACGAGTGAAGAGAAATAGAAAGAAAAGGAAGGACACAGAAAAAAAAGACCGATAGAAGACAGACAGAGAAGAGACGAGAGAGAGAGAGAGAGAGAGACGAGAGAGAGAGAGAGAGAGAGAGAGAGAGAGAGAGAGAGAGAGAGAGAGAGAGAGACGAATAAAAGACAGCCCCGCCCCTCCCCCTCCCCCCTCCCTCTTTTAAAAAAAATGCCTCCTACCCATCCCCCACCTCACCCCTCCCTCTCTCCCCTACCCCCCCTCCCCAGAA